TGGTGGGCGCTGCAGCAGGAAGGCCCCAGCTGGGGTTGAGCCACACCAAGAAGCTTCGAGGCAGAGTCAGGCATGGCGGCCTGAGCCAGAGCAGCCATAGCTGCTTTGGGTTGTCCTTTGGGCATCKGGGCAAGGCCTAGTAGTCCTCCATAGCCTCGGCCTATGAGAGTGAAAAGTGAGGGAGGCGGCCATGGCTATGGTGGACCTCAAGTGATACGACAGTAGAAGAGGGATTCAGACATTGATTCTGGTTCAGCCATTCAACGTTGTATTATTATTTCTTGTGTGAATACGAGAGGAGGAGATAAGGAGGAAGAAAGAGTTGGGCGAAGAAGAAGAGCTTTGTCATTTGTCTATGCTGGTGTACATCATCTTCTTCTTCTTTCTTACTTCTTCTTCTTCTTCTTCTAATCTTCTCTCTCCTCTCAAATTCATTCATTTCTTTCTGCAATTGGACGGCATTGTACTATCTGATGAATGTGTATCTGGAAATTGGCCAAGATCATAACATTGGTATCATAGCGGATTCTACTTGCTGGTGAGAGTTGACTTTGCTGCCCTAGCCCTAACCTAAGTGGTTGAGGGCAACACTTCGGGTTAGGGTTGGATGTAAGGGAAGTGGAGCAGCGTGGCTAAGGGAAGCTGCCCCCACCTGGTTAGGTCATGTGGGGTCGACATTGAACCTAACCAGGTTGCTTGAGAGTGAGGTTAGGGTGGCGAGACATTTCGTGGAGRYTTCATGCGGCRACTTGAGAGAGGCRACAGTGAGAGGYACTCGCACYTGGAAYCTGATTMAAGGGAAACACTTGGCAACTTAAGGGCTGCCCTCAAGTAGGCGAACTTGAGGGTCAGCGGCCATTCAGCATCTACGGACTGCAAGTTGCTACTTTGTTCTCCAACATCGACGGGGACCCGGCGTTGCACTTTGGTGTTGCGGTCAGACCCTCCTAGGAGATAGGACACTAGTGTAGGGGTAGCGTTAAAGGGGTCAGGAGGGTCACATGAGAGGGGGGTGAGTTCTATTCATCTCGAAGTTCAGGCCACTCAGGTATTGATTTGCTGAACGGACACGGAGCTGGTCAGACTAGACTCGAAGTGTCGTGCACCTACGGGATGCCCATGTATGTGTGCATGGTATTGATTTGCCCTGCTGGGGTTATTTTGGGTCTCTTTCCTACTCCTCTGTGGTCTGATTGTGTGATTGAGGTGTGTGTGAACTACCTACTCACCTGATGGATGGAGAAACAAAGTATCTTGATTTGAATGTCGATTCCTTCTACAGTGCTTTGTCTTTTCATCTCTGAATGGCTGTAATCTGTAGGTTCTACCGGAAGGTGAAATTCGTTTTCAGGATGGTAGAGGCATAAACTTAGTCCAAGTGAAACTCCTCTTGGTTGGCACTCGGTCACGACCTACTTGGGACCCCTGGGGACCCAGTGGGACCGGGCCCAAACAAGAAGAGCCCTTGGACCCGCATCTGTTAGACATTAGTCCATGCTCTTCCTGACTGAGATCCGGAGTTTATTCTTGTTGGTTAGGACACCCACTGCCGAGGGGATCTCGACTGAGACGTTTCGCATGCTTTTGATCGCACCGTCCGTGGCTTGACTCGCACCCTATACACCTCTCAATTCTTCGTTGCTGCATTTAGTCATTCGTTGTCTGATTTGCTGAACGGACACGGAGCTGGTCAGACTAGACTCGAGAGGATCTCATATGCAATCTGATCAGACTGGGTCGCTGGATCAGACCTCTCCTGTGACATTGTTTTTCTTTTTGTGGTTTGCTGCTCTGTAGTCCAAATGTAATGTCGCTCCGGCTAGGAGTTTTAGCTTCTCTTCTTTGAAATTTTCAGTTTGTTTCTTTTCCTGAGTTCATATTTTGATGCCTGTAGAGACTCGCAAACAAAAGGAAGAGAGACCCCCATCTTGAGGGATTTGCGGAAATGGGCGATGTAAAGGCTTCTGTGGCCTTAAATGCCCAACTGGATGCAGCCGTAGAGGAGGATAAACCATTGTTACAAACTTTGTACGAGAAGGCACTAGCAAGGGAAGAGAAAGTCGAGGAGGAAAAGCGGAAAACCGTTGTTGCAGACCATGAGGCTGTCCTCAAAACAGTCTCCTCCTTGCCTGACACTGAGGTCAGGAAGAAGATAGTTGCATATGTGCGTGCTCTTATAGATTGTCACCTACTCAGTGACATCCTTGAACAAATCACCACACTCTCGGCAGAGGTAAGTGAGCTGCGGGCGGAACTGGCCGAAGTGACCAAAGAGCACAAGGATCAAATGCGGCAGATGACAAATCTGCAAAAGGATCAGATTTCTAATCCTCTCCCTCCTCTTCCTGCGTCCAATGTTGCTAACCAAACTGTACTCGCTCCTCTCCATTCCTCTACTTCTTCTCAAAGTGTGGTTCCATCGGGACCTGCAGTAGGTGCGGACTCTGCTGCCGCTACGGCAAGTGACGGCGCAGGGAATTCTGCAACTGCTGCAGCCTCGAGTTCAGAAACAGCAATCGCTGGTGCCGGCTACAGCAGTCCCCATGTGGACAGGAAGGCGGTTCCCATATCGTCCAAGTACGACGGGAAAAGAAGACGTTGAGTCCTGGATCAGCTCCATGAGAGCTTACTTCGAGGTGCTGGGAACTCAACCAGTGAGCCAGTCCTTGATCATGGGGACCAACGTCGAGCCCGCTGTACGAGGCTTCTTAGAAGTCCAAGCTACGCAAGCCGGGTACATTAAGATCAATCTAACACAGTGGCTCAAAGCCACACCCATAGCCACGCTTGAGGAAATCTTTATCAAACAATTTAAGGATCCACATGCTGCCGCAAGAACCCGAAAGAGACTTGATGATCTCAAGTGCAGCAAGTGGACGGGCACCATGCATAATTTGCAGTTGTTTGTCAACAAACTTTTTGCTACTCCAGGATTGGAAATGACTGCACAATCAATGTCAATCATGCTTGGATGTTGTGAAAGGAACGGTTCCCACTACCTACATGCATCGCCTAGGCAAAGAGCTCATTGGTTACACAAATTGGCTTCCCCTCATGCAGGATGTGGTCAGCCTTGAGGCACAAGACCTCGTTACCACAACAGGCAGCAGAAAGCCTATTTGCGGCAGGCGATTCAGAGGCAGCAACCGTTTTGCTATGCATGACCTGTTGGAGGTCGGTGAGGAGGCCTATGCAGACGACCCCACTCTTGGTGACGACCAAGAACAGGATCCTGACACGACCTACTCTTCAGCCCATGACTCTGATGTGAATAATGAAGAGGAAAAATTAAATGCCTTTAAAAGGTCTGCCAACGTAAAGGGACTGAATCGGAATTCAGGGAAGAACTATGTCCAACTTCCCAAGGGAGTCAAAATCCCAGCGAAATCGGAGGATGCAGCCACTAAACCATGGGTTGACCTTCGGATCACTGAAAATGATTGGAGGGTTAGGCTCAAGAAGGGGGTATGCCTGCATTGCCAGAAACCAAACCATAAAGTACAAGAATGTTATAGGCTGCAGGGAAACCAGAACCGCGCGTAGAGTTGACTTCAGC